TTTTCTAGCTTCATAAACGTTATGGACGGTGTGTTAGAATTTTGTTCGGTGACTCAGAGGGAGAATCGAAGAGACTTTTGCACAAATTAAATTCTAGAACAAAGGAAACGGCACAAATTAGACAACACAAGTCGTTAGAAACATGTATATATGATAAATATAGTGTTAGTGCATGAATAATATTTACAGTTTAATATGATTTACACGTATGAATTTAAAAAGAATATGATACATTGTTGGATGAGAGGATAGGACCAAAAGGCATTTAAAGGAAGTAGGACGAGGGATAGAGGGAGGGAGGATGTCATATAGGGAACACCGTAATTTAGGGCAGTCAAAAAATATATGGTCCACGTTTCCTTCGTTTGGTCTAGACGCATTCACACAATGAGTTATCTTTTATCCTAAGTTTAGCCAAAATAATAGGAGTACACGCGTGACCTAAGCGAAGCCGGCATATTGTTGACGTAGTTTTTTTATCTGCTGTACGGAATTTAAAAAACCATGGTGTTGTAGGAATTTGGGGTTGGATGTCCGCATAATATTTGCCCTTTTCTTTTTGGAATATCTCCCAATACTTCGACCAACGATCACGAAGAAAGGATTCTGGGAGTAGGCAAAGGTCGTGGGAGTACAAATTGGAGTGTTCAGTTGAATCTATGCGGGAAGCCAATTTGGCACAGGAATCTACCGTCTCATTGCCTGGGATTCCAACATGTCCAGGTATCCAAGCTAGCACCACGTTTACACCTTGCTTGTAACACTCAAACAGGACTTGTTTAATTTTAAGTATAATAGGGAATCGGAAGGAAGAGTGAAAAGGGTTTGACAGGATGGATTGAAGACAACTTTTGGAATCAGTAAAGATGATGGAATTATTGAGTTTATGAGACTCGACATAGAGAATTGTTTCCAGTAAGGCGATTACTTCACCAGTAAATACCGAAGAGTAGGATGAGCATCTGAAGCTTAAACCTATCTTAGAAGAAGGGATCCATACTGCTGCTCTTACGGGACTTACTGTTGAAAGTTTTGAAGCATCAGTAAATATGCAGCGCCATCCGGAATAGTCGGAAGAGATCCTATGGTTGAAAATCCTTCGAGGGTCAACGGAGTTCTCCTTCTCTATATCAAAGTGAAGGAGAATGTTGGGCTGGAAAACAAGAGCTTCATAGGAAATACAATAAAGAGGATTGCGAGGAAACTGATTGAGTGGGGGAGGGAGTTGGGTGAATTTAATAAAGCTCTGAAGAAGGCATTGTTTACTGTCCATGTTCCGAGAATCGAATAAGTCTAAGAGAAGATTTAATTTAGGAAGAATGGGGTGGTTTGAATTTTGAAGCAGTTGAGAAGACTATGGCACAACTTTTGGAAGGGGAGAGAGATAGGCCATGCTCAAATAACCAGTCATTTAGGTATGACAGAGCCGAGTTCAATCTACTTTCTGCCTCTTCTATAGTACTTACTTTAATGTATAGAGCCAGGTCATCAGCATATTGGAGAACGTCGCAAAATGAATTGACAAATGACTCCAGGTCGTAAGTATAGATACTATAGAGCAATGACCTTAATACAGATCCTTGGGGGAGACCTTTCCAAACGGTTTTCGGGGACAGGAAATTTAGGGAAGATTTTACTACCACACGACGCTCCATTAAAAGGTTGTCATATGCTGAGGCGATATCGAGAAACACCCCAACAAGGAATTTCTTTTCCTTGGTAGCAGTATGGATTTCAGTCGTTAGCAAACTGAGATTGTCCATCGTGCTGAAGCCCCTCCTAAAACCAAACTGTGTTTTAGCTAGGATGTCCCTGTTCTCAACTAGCCATTGGAGCCTTTGTTTTATCAGATGTTCCATAATCTTGGCAGGGGTGGGGGAGAGAGCAATGGGTCTGTGACTGCTAGGATCTGAAGGATCCTTGCCAGGTTTAAGTATAGGAATAATTATTTGTGTTTTCCATTGGGCTGGGACTGAACCATAATCAAAAAAGTAATTTAGGATATTAAGGAAAACTTGTTTTGAAAAATGAGAGGAGTTGGTGATGAAGGAGTAGGGGATACCGCCGATACCAGGGGATGAGTCAGTAAGTCCGTTCAGTACAAAATATAGTTCGTTAATGGAGAAAGGATGATCCATAGTAGATTGAGAAGGGAGGTAGGATGGGGGAGAAGGAATGGAGTCAAAACCAGGAACTGAGGAGGGAGCGAGACTGTCCGAAAAGACCTCTAGCCATGATATGGGGTCATTGGATGGTATATCGACTGCATTATATGAACCTCTAAATCGCCTTATCTGTCTCCAGACGAGAGAAGGAGGGGCCTTTGGGGACAGACATTCGCAAAAACCTATCCAGTTATTCCTTTTCCATTTTTGGGTAAGTTTTTTAAAGTTGGCTGATGATTTTTGATAAGCCATAAAATTTGCCTGAGTCATAGAGGAGTTGTAGTTCCGCTCTGCCTGTCGTCGCTCTACAACAGCCTCCGAGCACTCTAAATTCCACCACGGAGTTGAGACTTTGTGTCCTCTAGCAGGCTTCTTCATGAGGATATGCCTATCAGCAGAAGCAGTAACACAGTCCACAAAAATGTTATAGGAGGAAAGCGGGTCGGTATCTAATGGGAAAATCGGTGAGGTCTTTAGAGCTGTCTCTAGAGAGGAAGAATATGAAGGCCAGTCAGCTCCTGAAATTTTGTATTTTAATAAAGGGGTTCCATTGCAGTATGGACAGCTGGTCCATAATGGGAAGAGGACAAGGAGACTAATTGTGACAGTTTATCGGCAACGTTGGACTGTAATGGGATGGAGTTAGAGGAAATAAGGTTTATCAAGAAGGAGATAAGGATTTCCATCATTTCATTGGGAGAGGATGATTGATTGTGACTTAAGGCACAACCATTTGGGAGTGAGGAGTTTGGAGAGGCTATAATTTTGTTGTGTGCAGACTTGTTGTCCCCAGGGGAGTCTAAGACGAGGAGAGGAATATACGGTCTTGGCATGAGACCGATTTTGATGATCATGACTTGAATGTATGGGCACCTGGGTTCTTGTGGACGAAAGTGTCTCTTGAGACACTTCAGCATAAGACCTAGTAACTCTTGGGAATTGTGCAGCTGCCTCCACATATGAATTGCTTTTTAGTGCCATAACGGTCTTGATCGATTTTTGTCTGTCCAGTTCCGGGCAGTTTTTGCTTGTGGCAAAATGACGTCCGGAGCCGTGCATGCATGTAGCTTCATTCTCTACCACTTGACAAGAATCACCAGAGTGGTCTTTGGTGCACCTGAAGCATCTGGGTTTAGACCTACACTGAGCTTTAGTATGGCCAAACCTACAGCAAGAGTGGCACTGAATGGTGGGGTATTGATATAGTTCAACTGGGAGAGAAGTGTAATACAGAAATACCCTGGAGGGATGGAGTTGGCCAAGAAATGTAACAACTACTGTCTATGTTGGTACCCATGTAACTGTTCCATTGTCCGATGTTTTCCTATTTAATCTTCTAGCCTTTAGAACTTTGCCACAACCCGGCAGCTCTAGTGATTCCGCAAACTCCGTCATGCTCAAGTCTGTAGGGACTTGTCGGATCAAACCTATGCGAGTCAGATTATATGTTGGAATAACAGCAGAATATTTGCACATGGGCAAAATGGGTAAGGAGAGGAAATTGTTTGCGTCGTTGGCCGAATTAAATTCGACAGAAATCCTGTTTCTGCCAACTCGTTTCACTCCATCAGCACAAATATTGGCAATTTTGTGGGTTTTCAGAAATTGACAACGAGTATGACAACGCCCCAACAATTAACGAGGGGTCCATATATACTGCATCAGCATTGTAAGGGGTAGATAAATCAACCTTTCAATTATTCTTTTTAGCAGGTGGTGCTGAGTCTTCAGATGTACAGCGTCTGCGAGTACCCGTTGGTAACGGATCAGAGAGAACACGATCCGGCGGTCCGGAGGTCGAGGATCGGAATCTGTCTCCATAATGGAGATTTGAGGTTAGATTACCTCACACAAATTTTGTGAAATATTACACTAATTACATATAAAACCTAACTACTAATAACTTACCCACAACCAGAGAGAACACAACACTTATTAGAATCAAATTGGACAAACATTTTTATCAATAATACGAGGTTTTCTTTTTCCACACACAAAACCACACTGTCCGTTTAATCGCTAGCGACGAACCTAACGTATTTATTCACAGACATAGAACATGAGTTGGTTGACAAGAGTGACATCCCAAAGATGAGTTAAACCACAAAATTAAAACCTTTGTATCAATGAGATTATAGTACCAAATAATACGAACTATTTGCTTTAACACTCCTCACATACTTACCCATTCACACTCAATTGTATTCACACATTCAATCCCATACTAATCACATACACCACTGAAACTTACCCTTAGAGAGGGGTTTAGTCAAAGCATCCGCAACCATCTTTTCACTTTCGCGATACTCCAACCGAATGATGCCTGACAACAGATTCCCGTACAAAATGATACGAATATCAACGTCTTTTGTATGCTGGTGATGGATGTACTGGATTGGTGGCTATAGCAATAGCAGACTGGCTATCTGAGAAGACTGTAGGCCGTTCTTCATCCTTCATCATCATCTTCATTGTTTTAATTTTGATTTTGTATTGTTTATAATTATTGTATTACATCTATAGGTAGGTTGACAGATCTGTCTGGGTATCTAAAACTGAGTTTTCTGGTATACTTTGAGTTTAGATTGGACTGCTCTGGTGGTATCAGAAAACATCACAAGTGCTTGCATGCAATTGCAAAGGCATGTAAAATCCATCAACCCATACTGAAGAATAATAACTTAAACTCCACATCTGAGGGGAGGCAGGTGCTTCAACAGTGGGGAACTTGAAATTAATAGGCTGATGATGACAATGACGAATAATTACTAATTATTTGCATACTTAATAACTTACGTTTTCCACTTCTTCAATACTGAGAAAATATAGTTATTGTATTTTCTCTTTTGCTCAACGGGCCGTCTGATCCAAAGGCCCTTGTAATATTGTTTTGTGTAGAACACGATAATACCTAGATATCGTTGTGTAAAACAATGTGGATTCAAGCATTTTATCTGATTTTTTACCTTCCACAGTCAACGCACCAAGACCTTCAATTTCCATTTCAACTTGTCGAACACTTCTTTTACTAAAAAGATTGAAAATATAGAAAAATTTGATACATTTATTATCGCAAAGGTTTCAAATTCTGACGTTTGACGCTTGATTTGAGTTCAATTTGAGCTTTATTGTGAACACGACCTATTTCTTTTCATGAACTGGCAGACAGATTCCACCAATAGGAGTGCAGATTTCGCAGCCAATCAGAGGCCGTATACATCGGATTCTCTTGTCGCGCATTCTTAGGGTGGACAATCTCGTGTCGCGGATTGCTGTGCCGGACATTACGTTGTTGGGCATTATGGGATCCAACAAACGCCCGTCTCAAATTCTCAATATTTTGTCACTTTTTCATTATTAAGAGTTTTAGCTTGGATACAAGTTCTTTGAGCTTTGTCTTCGTTTAATTATCGGGATCGTCATTAAATATTATCCATTGTGGTTCTATAACATTATGTTTTTACTTAGTTCTCTTGTCTTTTAAGCAGCGGGAGTCAATATTTATGTTGTCACTTTCACATAAATCACATTATTGTCACTTTGAACAAAAACTTTGACTTCGTAATTAATTAATAAGAATTTTCAGGGGAAAATTCTTTTGTAATTTGGTTTAAAATAAGGAATATTGCTCCAACTTTCTTCATCACTATTTCTTTCTTCGTATTTTCTTCATAATATATTTAAAATAAAATATTTGTAAAAACTGTACTTGTAAGTTCAAAAGCCCGCCATTTTTCTTTTTTTTTTCATATTTTGTCACGAACTAGATGATGCAATGGAGTACTGCTGCCACCTTTGCCACTTTGGATTCAATTGACAATCGTGGCAAGAGGCTTATTGGTGACTCGGAATTTGTGGAGGCGAAGCTGCAAAGCCTTGAACACCGCCGCAAAGTTACCTGCTTGTCGGTATTTTACAGGATATATCACGGAGAGTGTGCGATGGAATTACACGATTTAATTCCGCCTTCCCCTTTCCATCACCGGGGGACTAGGCGTAGGCTTGGGTTCCACCCCTATGTTATGGACATTCCAAAGATTCGCACGAAGCGTTACGCTTCCAAGTTTATATGGCGAATGGCTATAGAGTGGAATTCCCTGCCTGCAGACTTCGCCCTGAACTTTATAACTTGGGCCATTTCAAGGCGAGAGTGAATAGGCATTATTTAGGTGTGCATGCTCCATCGCCGACCTCATCGTCACTTTCTACCAGGTGAGATGGAGGTCAAATGTGCACTTATATTTAATAAAAAAAAGTAAAAAAAAGTCTAGATGCAATAAAATGCTTTGGGGATGCCGCGACATTTTATGACGCGGGTGTGGGGTAAGCGGGCAGGGCAGGGCATTTACAATAATTCAGGACAAAGCGCGGCAAACCCTACCGAATTATTCGGCCGAATATTCGGTTCGGTAATCTTTTTACCGAATATTCGGCCGACTATTCGTATAAGTTGAAATCTCGATTCGGCCCATCACTAGTAGTTACTAATCACGCAATACACATCACAAGTGAGCACTTTAGAAGCTTCGCAATTCGTTCGAGTTATTCGTCTATCACAATTTTATACGTTTTCTCATATAAATGTTAAGTTAATATTAATGATTTTCACATATTTATAACTATTATGATATAATATTACATATTATTAATTTATAAATAATAAGACATAATTGTATCATACGTACATTAATAAATTTTGTACTTAATGCAGATGAACTTGTATCTGACGAAATATTTTTATAAAGAATTTATTTGAATCGGATGCAAACAAAACGGGTACAAAAGAATACATCTTTTATCGTCTAAGACGCTGTTTGAAATCTCGTGTTGTTAACAATACGAGCTTTTTAATAACCAATAATTAAGACAGAATTGCATCATACGTACATAAACAAGTTCTTAAACATTTTTACTTGTCGACAGTACTTAATGCTAATGAACTAGTATCTGTCAAAAATATTTATGTACAATTTATATTTAATATGGGTGCAAAAGAAACCAGAGACATAATGAACGTATCCGAACTTTGCTAAATTGTTTCTAGTCTGAGTGTCCTGGGAAGTGTCCTAGAGCGAAATCCGTTGCTTTGGTACTCATAGGAGTAGGTACTCAGGGAATTCCCTAGTTTAAGTCCAGTCACTTGGTGTGGTTGTCTGGGACATTATTATTAGGTTATTAAAATCTTAGCAATTCAAAATCGGGATTATTACGTGCTTTTTCATCAATACCAAAATCAAGTCAATACCATACGTATCGATGTTTTTAGACTCAATTGGCGTAAAGGTCAAAATATCAAAAATGAGTTATAGTTTTATACAGTTTTATTGAGCTCTATACTGTATACTTAAAATCTAGATATAACTCAAAAATTGCATTTTACTGCTTATTGTCTTGTTGTCTAATACCAAAATTTGAAAAAAGCGTAAAACCTAGAGGCGTATAAGAACAAGTCATCACATCTGCATCGGAGACCACATAGTTTTATCACAGTCTAATCAATTATTTCCTACAGTCGGCCAACGAACACGTCTAGACAGAGCAATCGTGCGGGGTGTGTGGGGCGAAGAAGGGACGGGTGCGAACCCGAACTGCCGTACTCGTTCGGGATAAACCATTCAGGGCTGAGACATTTACGTTAATTATTTCGTGTGACTGTAGTAATGATTTGTTGGATGGAAAATTCTACATCTTACATGTTCTATTAGAGACTGCTTTATCATAATCTCGCATAAAGAAAAATACTTAAATTTCATCAGTTTGCGCATACAGAGGAAAGGTGAGTCAAATAAATTTATTTGATTTGGAGTTTTAGGTAATGAAATTATATTTTGTTAATATTTTTTAAAAGCGAAATTACCTTTACGACACGCCGCGATTAAAATCAAACTGCTTGCTTTTTCATTATCTATTCGAATATGGTATCAATTCTTAATCCAAGATTGCGGACACGACTTATTCAATTAAAATTAATATGGGTACCGTCTTCGGTGTTTTAGTGGGAGAAATAAATGCCATATTACATACAAATATGGCATTTATTTCTAAATCCAAAATGGCGGACCGAACTTTTCAAATAAAATCAATAATTACAGGTGTCGTTTTTGAAGCATCTGGAAGTGCTTATTACGAATATTTTATTAATTTCTAAATCCAAGACGGCAGACACGACTTTTCAAATAAATGCAATGTGGGTTATTTTCGAGGTGTTTAGTGGTGCTCATTACGAATATGGCACTTATTTCTGAATCCAAGGTGGCGGGTACGACTTTTCAAATAATGGCAAGTTGGGCGACGTTTTCGAGGTATTTGGGGTTGCTCATTACGAATATGGCACTTATTTCTAAATCCAAAATGGCCGACACGACTATTCAAGAAAAGCAATATGGGTATCGTTTTAGCTGTTATCGGGTTGATGATTATGAATATCGTAATTAAATCCTTGATACTTGATGCAATACATAAACAAAGTAGTTAGTTAAATGCTAATTATAATTTTCCGATGCAAGCTTTGGGTTGAAGCAAATGGAGGACTCGATTAATCGGAAACACTTTGATTGAAATAATGTTTTGTTTAAAAGTAAACGTTTAAACATAAAAATATTTTTTTCATTATGTTACTTTACCTTACACACAACTACTGTACATGTACATACTATAAAACGGCTTGTGAGAAACCCTCACATCAACATCTTTTTTATTAATATTCCCAATATGGACATCGTAGTAGGACCCCCACCCCATAGACTGAATATAAAAAAAATATGTGGTGACAACCCTGAGGTATGACATGTCTAACCAAAGCGGCATTTCACAAGACTTCAAAGGCGATGTCCCTTTAGACTGTATGTTCTTTACAGAGTTATCGATATCGATAATTGTAATGTATTTCTTGATTAGTAAATTTCTATTACCTTATTGAGTATTTATCTTTATATTTGTCTTTAATGCTTTTTCAGGAACCACATGGACGCAGGAGCTGGTGTGGCTGATAACCAATGATTTAAACTTTGAAAAAGCAAAGTCTGTACCGCTAATGGACAGATACTCGTTTCTGGAGTGAGCAATTAATTACATATTTTTATACAATGCAATACAATACAAATATCCTTTATTGCCACAATGACACTTTTTGACATAAATAACATGTTAAGTTAAAACATAAACAACCAATAAACGGTACGCCAAACATGTCAGAGGGCAAACGGTTTCAGACCGCGGTTGTTGTCGCAGACAGCGCTGTTTTTCAGCCACCCCCTTGTCCTTAAGATCTTAGGCGGGCTTAAAAGCAACGAGGGCCTATAAACAGTTATAATAGTTTGAAAACCGTTATTCTATATTATTTAATAAATCAGGCTCAAGCTTCGGGTTTCGGGCTGGCATGTACGTGCGTGCGTGCGAGCGTGCGTGTGCGTGTGCGTGTGCGCGTGCGCGTGTGTGTGTGTGTGTGTGTATATTTATTACTCATAATTATAATGAGGTACAAACAAATTTGGGCTTTAAATAATTTCCCTGCTTTAGTGGCTTCCAGTAAGAGTGCTTCAGATCTACTGCTGCAAGTTGCTTTTTTATTGAGGCTGATTTCAATAAGGCTCTGAACCGGTTCGCATCAATTTTCTTCTTCATTGGTGTGGGTAGATCGTTCCATGTCTTTGCCGCACTAAACCTGAAGCAGGTCATGTACCGTGACGATTTATGTATAGGAATCTTCAGCATATCGCATGTAGTAGAGCGAAGACTCCTGTGCGTAACGTCTCTCAGCCAAGTGAGTTTTTCAAACAGATACTCAGGTTCCTTCTTCCATATCACTCTCTGAACCAAACAAGCATACTGGAGTTCTCTTCTGGCGTTCTTGTTGAGAATTGCATTTTTGTTCATTTAGGGAGTAATGCGCATAGGTATATTGAAGGTAAAACGGACGCAAGTATTTTGAACTCTCTGTATAGCTCTCTCAGTGTTGGTTTTAAGTCTCGGGCCGAAAACAGAACTACAGTAGTTGAAAGGGGATAACACCAGGGAATCCGTTAGGAGTAAACATATCTCGGCCTTATTTGGTATAATCTTTTTAACTTAAAGAAGGCATTTCTAATTTGCAAATTAACATGCTCTGCGTACTTCTGTACTTCATTCAAGATAAGTCCCAGATTCCGGGCCGATTTGAGCCGTTCCAAAACAACGTCATTAATTTAGATTTTTTATCGCAGTCTAACACCTGTTTAATTTGTGTTTTAGTCCCCAAAATCAACATTTGTGGTTTCCCGGGATTGGACTAGAGAGTTCTTTTTTGGCCAGATGTAAATATTTTGATGATCGTCATTAATCTTTTCTACTGCTCCTTTCGTCAAATGAGTAGTATAATTGCGTGTCGTCTGCATATAAGTGATATGTACAGGATTGTATGCTTAATGGTAGATCTGCTGTAAAGATGGTGAAGAGGATTGGACTCAATGGTGAACCTTGCGGTGCCTCTCGAATAAGTTCTGAATGTTCTGAATGTCGAATACATTTTATCACCATCATTATTCTCCGTAACGACTATTTGCTCTCTGTCTGTAAAAAAGATTTTATCCACTGACAAGCATTCTCCGAAAACCCATAGTTTAAATTTTGCTAGAAGCAATTCCAGGTGCAAACAATCGAAAGCTCGAGAGTAGTCCAGTAATATTAATATACTACTTAACCCCATGTCCGAGGCTTCGGTAAGATCGTTAGTGACATGAAGTAGGGGCGTTTCTGTTCCGTGACCTCTCTGGAGCCCTGATTGATATTTACGTATTACATTTGTCCCGTCTAAAAATTTTTGTATTTGGACCAGGACCACCTTTTCGATCATTTTCGACAATACAGGATGAACAGAGATTGGTCTTCTTAGGTCTCTCAGTTCCTCAAGAGAGTGTTTTTTAGGAATGGTTTTGAGTAATGCTCTTTTCCAACAAGTTGGAAAGGTGTGTTATAATTATTAATGCAAAGATCGAATACTCAGAAAAAATTCCTTCGATCCGGCCGGATTCGAACCGACCGACGCTATACCAAGTAAGCCACGGAACGAACCAGCGGACCTCACGAATTTTTCTATGTGCTCGTCGTATCCTTGTATTTGGTTTTTTTAACGAATTTTTAGTCATAATCTATCATACTTTATGTATATGACGACCTTGATGACCAAATGGACATTGAGAGGGAACGTAAGGCATTGACGATCAGAAGTAATATGTTGGCACGTAGGTTTGCTCGTTGCAGTAGGCAAGTAAAAATTACGCTCTTCAAAACCTACTGCCAATCGTTTTACACGAGCAGCCTGTGGTTCAATTACACTAAAAGATCGCTTAGTGCCCTACGGGTCCAGTATAATAATGGTTTTAGAGTGTTGATGGGGCTGCCTCGATTCTGCAGTTTTGCAGAGGCGCGGGTAGATGACTTCTACGCCATCAACCGTAAAAAAACAGCCTCACTGCTCAGCATACTGCGAGTCAGCACCAACAGCATTCTACAGGTCATACCCGACAGATATGATATAATGAAGTCTTTCATTCGGGTTCTAGTCAAATAGTCTCATATGAGTCTAATTGATCGGAATGCGAGTGAAAGATAATTTTGACTTGTATTTTTATTTTATTTTCTTTGTCACTAACGTAGCTTTTTAATTAGTTTGTAAGATACTAACACTATTGGACCATACTACGTTGTTGTCTGAATAAATAATTATATTATTATTACTATTTATCATAATTTTACAAAAAAATAATTGAATATCAATTGAATAAAAATTTTAAAAAGTTGGAAAGGTGTTCGTCGCAATGGATTTATTCACTATTGTCGTAATTATTGGGAGTGTAACATCAAAAGTCAGTTTGATCATGTCTATATTCACTTTGTCATGCCTCTCTGCTTTTGTTGTTATAGCAGAAACAATCTTGTATACCTGCTTTGATTGCTTGTCGTAGGCTTAAGCTCAAAGAAGTTTACTTGTTGAAGATTGGTTATACTTAGCGTAATATTTTTAAAATCTCAAAATTTTCAAATATGTCATTGCAGGCCGGGATATTTAAAAAATTATCATTAATTTTTTTCAGAGTTATTAAAGTTATGCGGAATTCTAGGTTTCTTGGGTCTTTCAAAGCTAGTGACCTTTTTATGTTTTTCCAAAGCACATTTGGGTTGTTAATGTTATTATTAATGAAATTATTATAATACGCCTTAGTTTCTTGCCTAATCGATGCGGTCACATAATTTTTTAGACTATGATAGTAATCTTTAGAGCTTTGTGTTTTCTTTTTTTGGGCGTTTGATATAGATATTCCTCATCACGTAAATTCATCATCAATTTTACTGTATCTGTGATCCATGATTTTGGTTTGTCTTTAACAATTATTTTCCTCATCGGTGCATGAATATTGAACAGATATAAAAGGTACCTTTTAAACGTTTCTACCATATCATCAACATTTTCCAAATGACATATTGATTGCCATGAAATAGAGTTGAGGTTTACAAGGACGAGATCATGATTAATGTCCCGTAGAGATTCTTGGTATTTTATTTGTTTGCAAAATTCTTGGCTTCTTGATATTACAATCCACCAGCACCGTACCACGATCACTTAAACAACGATTATGTATTACTTGGACATCGTCGATGTTTCTGTAAACTCTGTAACTGTGGTTGGTTCTTTGACTAGCTGGTTCAAGTTATGTTGATGGTAGAATAAGATCAACTCATCTGCATTTATTGACTCTATCTGACTAAGGTCCACATTTAAATCACCCATGAGACATGTGTAATTACAGCTCGCTACAGAATTTATCGATTCACTGAGAGCGTTCAGAGCGTCTTGTATGTTAATTCTCTCAGGCCTATACAGACACAGCATACGCTGTGCCAAGTGCTAGTGGCTCTTGGCAGTTGGACTTCAAGCCATAGTTGTTTTAGTGATAAGGGTGGATGTTCCTTTGTTTGTGTCACTATTCCCTGTCTCATGTAAAAGCCCACACAACCACCTCGTCTTCCTACTCGAGCTCTATGTAAAAAATTGTATCCAGGAATTGCAGGTGCCATCGACTCTTCCCCCGTTCCCTGCCAAGTCTCGCTGATGGCGAGGATGTCAGGCCCATGATTTAGTATAGTCACTAATAATTCATCCTGTCCGGTATTAAGAGATCGTGCATTTAATAACACTAATTTTAAACAATTAACTTTTTTGGAGTTAGCCATTAACAGAATTACGGCGTGTCGTAGTTGTATGTTTGCGTGTATTGTTAATGTGAGTGAAAGATGTAAGGTATTATAGAGCAACAAATAACACTAATATTACACATAATAACCAACGCTACGATGTGCCAAAAACTATTTCGATGTCACGCTCCGAGCGCAGCTGTTTTCGCGGTTTCCCACCATCTTCTCGTATAAAAATTTTCTCACCACGCGTTCAGACATATTTAACATTTGAGTCATGGGCCAGGTTCCGAGCCTTTTGGAATAAAAGACAAGACGGCCATGCTTTGTTAGTTTTATTACTTTTTACATCTCATCATTGCAACAAAAACAATAATACAAAAAAAAAGTAGGTAGGATGAATATCAAACCTCTTAAGAAGACACATTATCAGAATTCGAAGTCGTACTTCGGGCTGTCAATCCCACAGAGTCTAAAACAAAGCTATTCAATCAGTGCGTTCTACCAGTTAATATCCTACGGAGCCGAGACGTGGACCTTAGCAACGGGCCTCATCCACAAATTTAAAGTCACTCATCGCGTGATGGGGCGAATTATGCTCGGGATTCTCTGGCGAACCGAATTCCTAATGAAGTCATACGTCAACAAACTATAAAGTATCCGATGTTGCTCGCAAAATGAATAAGATTAAATTGACCGGACATGTCTGCAGGAGGACTGATAGCCGATGTAGCAGACTTATTCTAGAGTGGCGACAACGTCTACGATGCCCTGCGGTAGGAAGGACGACCTGAGAAATGTGGCCGGCAGCGGCTGGATGCGGACGGCACAGGGGTCTTCTCCCGTTCTTCGTCTGACATCCACCCGAAACAATTACTGTTAAATTAGTAATTCAATTATTTATTTATTTGGGCATTAATCCCTTAACATTGCATTATAAATTACACGGTCATAAAAATTTAAAAGCAATAAATAAAATAAAATGGGTTCACCCTGTTCAGGGCAAACATGCCAGACGCACTGCAGCGTCATGCAGACGTAACATGGCTTGAAATGCGTTGTACTGCACTCATAAAGTGTTTATCGTACGTTTAGTGTAATTACACCACAGCTGACTCGCATAAAATGCCTAGTATGTCAGACACAGAGTAACTTTCATCTGGTCTGAGCAGCGTGCAAAATGCGGCGCCAACGTATTGCTTTTCACTGAGATGGCTCGGCGCTGCTTCTCAAGGTCGTCATCATTCGTAAGTCTGTCTGTAATAATGTGTCCCAGGTATTTAAATGTAGAAACTACTTTTAACGTTGATCCAAGTAACATAACCGGCGCAACAATGTCTGGCCCTTTGTCATATTTAAACACCATCAGTTCTGTCTTTTTAACGTTATAATGAAGACCATGAGCGACAGCAAAAGTAATCCCTGAAAAGATTAAGAAGAAGGAATTTCTCTCACACCCAGCTCCTCGAGCCTGCGAATGAGATGGGGTATAGAAACTGTGTCAAAGGTTTTTGCTAAATCGAGAAATATGATAAGACATTTTCTTTTATTATCAAGGTTGGTCACTATAGAATCGACCAGTTCATGAATGGCATCATCAGTGCCTAATCTAGTACGGAAACCAAATTGAGACTTGAGATTGTTCGGCAAGTTGTTCACCGACACCCACAAAGAATTTATTTACGTCATTGACCTTTTTTGCGGGTTCTGTAGCCCAATCAAGCCTGACAAAGGATCCACTGTTTTATTATGACTACAGATTGTTTTAATAACATTCCACAGTGACTTTTTATTATTTTTACTGTTCTCAATTTCGCTTTTTTCATAAGACATTTTAGCTTTCCTGATAAAAAAAAAATTTAACCTATTAAATTAAAAAAAAGTTTAAAAATCTCGTTATTAGGATCTTTTTAAGTTTTTTTGAAAAAGTTGTCGCGACTTTGCATACATTCAGCAGAGCTTTTGTAAGCTATGGCTTATAGATTCTTTTCCTGTTAGGGGTGTAGAGTAGTCTGGAATTTTCAGTAATTGTTTTTTTAAATAAATTAATAAATCAGTGGCAAAATTTACGTCAATTTCTTTTAAGATTGATAATAAGTTAACCTCAACTAACCCATTGCCTGGTCCTTGTGTTCATAGTTTATTCTAAAAACGAGGTTAGGTAAATATTCTAGCCTAGTGTTAAGTTTAATACTAAGTGCAACACATTGATGGTCAGTGACGGATGATTCAAATACTATACATGTAGGATTTAATTTAGATTTAATCATCGTGTGATCTGCATAGTGTTACCCGGTAGAAGGCTATGACTCGCTAAAATGGTGAGATATTCATGCGAGCGTTTATCATTGTTCGAAGCGACGATATCTATATTTATATCACGGCATAAAATGATGTTTTTATAACAATTCAAGTTAGTTAAGGTGTTATCAAGCGATGAGTTGAATTGGGAAGTATCTTGATTACTTGGCGGATGGTAAATGGCCAAGATGCACGTTTCCGAGTTAAGTTTCAGCAAAGTACAGTTTGCGTCAACAATACAAGGCTAGTTACTTGAGACATTTAGTTTCTCGTTATATAGATAACCACACCTTCGTTTTGTGTAATTTGATTTGTTGTGCAAGCGTAGTTACAGCCATGTAGAGTCGGTATATATTTGGCTGTAATCCAGCACTCAGTCAGCACAATCACATCCCAAAGAATATTTGATCTAGAAATGAGGGTCAGAAAGTCATTAAAATTACAAGTAAGGCCTGAATGGTTTGGCAAAATTATATTTAATGAATTATCGCTTGTTACATGTGTTTTTAAGGTTGTTTGTGCAATCTCCTGGGAAATGACAGCCGACTGCACTTTGCTAACTTCCTCCATCAGATCGATTATAATACTCGACCAAATAAAAGACGCATGATGCGAATGAACCATTATACTTAGCATTGTCTTTTGATTTGATCGAGTATTACTAATTGGACAGTAATTGTTTCCTACGGATCTTAGACGGAGAATAAAAGTAGACCCCCAGAACCGGAAGAGTTTGCGTGCTCAGGGACGAGGCTTATGATCAGCAGCAGATGCATGCAGGCTGATAATGACGAAGTTGTACTCCACTCACGCTGATAATGATTGATCTGTCCATGTCATCCTGGGAAGGTCGGTAACATTGACTGTTGGATTTTCTATTCCAGAATGTGCATGTTCGCCAATAACAAGGCATTTCAATTTTTAATGAAAAAGAATGCAGACAAACCAGGCGGTGCCCAAATACTGGAAAAGTTATCTATACCTGGGTATGAAACCCTGGCTAACATGAAGTCGCACCGCTTCATCAAGACCCATTTGCCTATGTCCTTGCGGCCTCCTAATCTGCTGGACACGTGCAAGGTTGTGTACGTGGCCAGGGATCCCCGTGATGTCGCAGTTTCATACTACTGTTTCAACAAGGAGAATGTTTTGTTGGGTTTGACAGCTCCATTTAAGGACTTCTTTGAATTACTTAAGAAAGATCTACGTAAGTACCCAATCTTAATCACCTTGCCACTAAATTGTATACAGAGTTTTAAGAACCAGAAGCGTCGATCTATGTGTGCCGGCATTTAAATTTCTTCTGCAGTGTTGTGGTGTCCTTACTTCGAACACGTGAAGGAGGCGTGGGCGCAGCGGCGTCACCCCAACATGCTATTTCTTTTCTACGAGGATCTATCCAAGGTTATTAGGGTTTCACTTTTTTAGGGTTTCACAACCCTGCAAATCGCTTCTTCAGAATAAATAAACGCACCATTGGTGTTATAAAGCTACACTATATAATTGCAAGGAGAGAGGTTTAAAGATTTCACGAACGAAATAAGTTTTTTATAGTTATAGTCATTTACTTACATTTTCGTGACTAGTAACTTATTTGTAATCACAAATAAGTTACTAGTCACGAAAATGATTAATTGATAAATAACAATTAATTAATACAATAATTAAAATCTTAATAACCAATCGTTAAAATAATAATAAGGTACTTAAAAACAATCAAATAAAATACATCAATCAGGCAATCACAATTACGTCAAATTCGTAACAATAAATTAATCAATTCATTCTACGTATCATTAAACGTGTAGAGTGAAGAGAAACAAGCTACGTTTTGAGGGGAAATGAGTATGAATTTCTCAATGGTGCACCTCCCACGTTCTCCGACAGCCGATTGCAGACCACCGCCGCTATAAATAGGGGAGTTAGAAAATTTCACTTATTTCATGTCGTTCATATTATTTTCGAGACTTTTATGTAATAAAAGCACTTTTGACGTATGATGTAGTACTCTTGTACCAAAAGGGTACGTCATAGCCATGGCCGATAACTATGTTTGTAGCGGTAACTAATTTTTACCGGACGTACCGTCTGCCTATACCTATGTGTCGGTTTTACATATCGTAATTCAATGATATAGGTAGGGTTTTCAAAGAAAATGTCATTACATAATATTGATTACACTGCATTCCAGGAACTAAAGGGCACGGCGCGTCGCGTGGCTAACTTTTTCGGTAAAAGTTACAGCGAGGAACAACTGGACCAGCTGTGTGACTTTTTAAGCTTCGACAACTTCAAGAAAAATGAATCTGTAGACCTTAAGGAACTTCGCGATGTGGGCATGTTTGATGCGCAAAACAAGAATTTCATCAGGAAAGGTGAGAAAACATTTCTTTATGTGATAAAAGTTCAATTAAATTATTGAGCCATGAATTGAACGTTACTTGTTACAAATAACATTTTGAAGGTTTATCAGTACCTAATTATAAACTTAATATTTCATCAATACTGTTGTCGCAGGATTTTTAAAAAACCTTGTTACCGAACAACTGAATAACTCAGTTACTTATAAGTTATAACTTATAAGTCTTATAATACATAATTGGATTTAACGGTACATACACACGTAAGTTTATTTTATTTAGTTCAGGTCACATGACCCATTTAATATATACCTTAAGGACTAACATACATACAATATAGTAAAATACTATTTCTAACTAATCTATAGGTACGAATTTCACTCGTCGGCGACGTGTGGCGCAATCTTGTGTCAGATAGCCGGCCGCGGAATTGTCGATATAAGACACCCTTCAGCCAAAATTCTTCCTTCATGAAGGTCGATCGATCCTATCTGGTGTACTCCACTATCTCTTCAGACTTCGTGGAGTAATGCAGCCGCGACAGGTACAGCAGAGTCGTCGGTGTGGTACATCACGCGCGGTGGCAACAACGATAGGTGCATTCGAATGCACAATGCCAACTCGACACTGCAAGTAGATGCATTTTGCGCCCCACGACGCATGTTTACATTAGAGGCTTCTGGTGATCTACATATGGTGACCGAAGCAACGTCGCTTAATAACGCAACTTGGGCACGCAGCTCACTTACGGTGTTATTCAAAGCCTCTAATTTATACTGTAACTCGGCTAGACTCGACTTCAGGGACGTAATGTCCTTCAACAGCCTAATGACACCGACGTGGTCGTACGTGACGAGGGGCAGCTTGTGCAACTCCTTCGCCACGAATGTGGGCACATCGTCCAGGTCCGTCTCCTTCAGAAGTGTAATGATACCCTGGAGACTCTTCGAGGCGAGATGGCTTCTGTTCGGCTTTACCGAGGCTCTGGAACAACAGCATCTTGCCACTGCAAATCTCATCGTCATTGAAATTTGATTTGCAGATCTGCACAATGCTGACTTTGTCTATGGTGTCGATGGCGTGTTGAATAAACGCCAGGAGCTCATTGGCAATGAGTTGTTGGGAACCCATCATCAATTACGGGCAGCGGCCGCGCGAGACGCGAGTTATATTTAATAATTAACTCACTGCGTAGTGGAGCGTCCGTTTCCGAACGCGCATTGCATTGCACTCTAATGTGTCGGTGGCAGTTATCACTTCAAACGTAATGGTTTATTGTTTATTGTAGATTTCGGTTTATTCTTTATGTAATGTCCTTTATCAAAGGATACATCTTAGTTAATATTATTACGTTTTGTTTTCTAATTATTATAGAAACGATTTAGTAGGCTCTCTGCGAATGACATTAACTAGTCTCGATAATAATTACGATAATAATTAATATAATAATCCACAGAACATTGTTAAATCTGTCAACCTAACCAACCAACCTAGGACACCGTGGTTGTTGGCAAGGTTGCCTTTTGAATATAGAGAGTGAAGTCAATGGTCAATGCTTTATAAACGGACGCGCATTGCTAAGATAAGCATTTTGTGTAAGTTACTTGGATAGTAAACATACGCGGCCGCTTCCTGTGAATTTGCCGTTTTAACCTGATCTATCTTTCGAAATTTCGAACTAATTACTGTGGAAAATTAATTGCAATCTACTTTTAAATTGTTATTTTAATTTAATTTGTTAACGAACTTTGAATAGGCAAATTATTATAATTATGCAATTATTATCAATGCAAGAACATTTCTTATTACTATGGTTAACACTGTTGGTGCTGGATGCAGAGGTCCCGGGTTCGATTCCCAGGTGGAAAATCAACTTTTCTAAACTGGTTCTGGTCTGAGTGTTCCGGGAAGTGCCCCGGAGTGAATTCCGTTGCTCTGGTACTCATAGCACAGGGAATTGCCTGGTTTGAGGGAAATTAATAACGCACACACTCAATATAATAATAACGCACACACTCAACATAGCCCCGCACTAGGGAAACCCTGTGTCGCGGGTGCCATGGACACACACATACACAACCACAAATTACACCCAAACTCACGAGAGAAATAAATGTAGGTCATACAAATATTTCTCCCGGCCCGGGAATCGAACCTGGGACCTCTGCGTGGCACTCCGGCGTGGTAACCGTTCGGCCACCGAGGCAGTTTAAATTATTTCATTATTATGCATTATAAAGCACAGTTATTGGGATAATACGAAATAATGTGGTGAATTGTTACAGGCAAGTCAGGCGGTTGGCGCGAGTACTTTGAGGGAGAACTAGCGTTGGAGGTTCAGAACTGGATAGATCAGAACCTGCGGGACACCGACTTGCGCTTCCCATCACTTTAAATATTCTTAGTATCGGCATGGGGATGGGGTATCAATTCATTCAAATTTATTTTAGTACACATTTATAACTGTAGATGGCGTCACTTGGATAAAATAAAATAATATAAAGTATTGTGTCACGAAAATTTGAACTTTGTCATACTAAATCAGAAGTAGAAAATACAAAACTATTTAAACAACATTTTAGGAATGTTCAATTAAAATTCATTTATCTACAATTATGAAAACTGGTGAAAACAGTAAACTGTTGACAATAGGTGTATAAGTCTTTATAGGAATGTGAGGTTGAATACTAAAGTAAAATCTACCTTTCGATCCAGCACTCTCTTCCCAAAGTTTATTCCAGGACTCCTGAAGATAAACTCTGGGCAGAGCAACCTAGTCATGGCATTAATTTTTGTAACGGACTGTATCTCCACAGGTAGAAGCAGCCTTAGCTAACTGATCGGCCTTCTTATTACCCACAATACCTTGGCGATTGGGGATCCACGCAAAAATAACAGAGTAGCCTCTACCCTCGTCAAAAAAAAAAAAGTTTACACTGTAACAATTTTTTCCTCATTTTGAAAATTATAGCATAGTAGGGTTTCGTTTTAAAAAGAAATTTCTCAAGAGTTTGCAAAGTACTTTTTGAGTCTGAAAAAACAATAGTTTTACTCAAATTACCTATAAGTATAATATATTCTACTGCCTTAAATAGACCGAAGCATTCACCTGTAAACACGGAAGTCTCACGGGGGAAGCTTAACCTGTTGTATTATTTTGTATTGTTTGTGTAATTAGCCCAACTCCTGCACATTGGTCACTGGACATTTTCGACACATCAGTGTATATGTGATGCTACTCGCTTCAATTTTCAATGACATTAAAATTAAATTGAGTATTAACCTCAATATCCTCTTTCTTTTATACCTACATTGTAACATATATTTGGAACTATCAATAACGACTGGAAATCAGACATGAACAGCGCTAGAGAAGGAAATCGATGAACACGTGTTTGAACAGTGTGAACTTTACGAAAACTTTTGATGAGGCATGGAATAGTTTTATGGGTCCAATAGCGAGATAACAGAATATAATCATTTAAAGTGTAAAGTTTAACTCGAGTTACTCCCACAACGAGTCAACTCGAGCTGCTTTTTTATGAACTCGAGCTAACTCGGTTCGGTACCCGAGCCAGCACCACCGCCCGAGCTGGATACTTCATTATATAGCGCATCGACTACTCGTTCCCACTCGGCGGTTGGTTTGGCGACCTTCGAAGCATGCTCGAGTCGCGAGCGATTATGTATTTGCGGAAAGCTTAATCCGAAAGGCCAAATGACAGGTGAGGTTTCGAAGTTTGACAGGACTTTGATCGTAATTATGACATAAAATCAACGTTAGCTATCGAGGTAACACCTTTCTTATCCATGTCATCTTTCGCAGAATCCATCCATCTTTTCTTTGGCCTTCCTTTCCCCTTATATCTCTCCACATTCATAGCTAACACTCTTCTCGTCACATGATATTCTTCCCTCCGCATGACATATCCACACCACGCTTACGCTTAGTTTGAAAGTGGCACCAGTGACGGAAAAGATGAGGAGTAGCATCTTTTCCGTCTCTGGTGCCACTTTCAAACTTGCCCTGATGTACTCATTCCTTAACTTATCCTTTCTCGTCACTCCCCACATCCATCAGAACATTTGTCCGTTAATAATTTTCATCGCCCAACATTCTGATCCATACAGTACGACATATTTAATCACGGTCTTGTATATTCTCCCCTTTTGCTTAAGGGGCATTCGCCGATCACAAATAGTGCCTGTGACCTATTGCCATTCTATCGTGCACGACATCTATCTGACAGATTTTTTAAATTTTGAAAATGATCCAGTGACGACGTGAGTAGGTATTGTTTTTTCAAACAAACCAACGTTTCGGGCCCTTTACAGGTCGCACGGTCACGGTTGACTGAGGTGGTACAGTCATCAACCAGTTATGTCTAATAATACAAATTTCATTTTCTATGGAAAAAGGTTTTTTTCAATTCGGAGGAAAATGTCGATAGATATAGGCAGATTAATATTTCAACATCGATCGCTATTCCAATACAGCTGTATAATCGTCCGCCAAGTGTGTTTAAACACGCAAACATGTAAATACAATTTAATCCCCGTAATGGTTAGGTGGAAATTCATCGAACGAAGGTTAATAGGCAACTTCAGTGTTGTTCAAGAACGAGAGTGACAGAGCTTAACACGGGAGGAGTTAACTTGAAATTTACATAACCATCCAGTTTGACCCCGACCTTTCGTGATTTCGTGAGTTTTATAGCTGCGGAACCATAATGAGAACATTAGTTCCCCTCTTCTATTTGTCACTAAATAATTCCTTGTTTTTGTACAGCGCCCTGTATCATTTTTAACGGACTTCAAAAAAAATGGAGGAGGTTCTCTATTCGACTGTTTTTTTTTTATATATGTTACGCGATAACATTTGTGAAAAGATTTTGATGATTCTTCTTTTGTTAGAAAGAAAGCACCTCAGTGGTCCCATTTAAATTGAAAGAAACTATTCCACCTCTAGGGTGAAAAACTAGGGGATGAATGACATTTGAGGTCAGTTTTTTAGTACTCTATACTGAGATTATCGTATAAGTTATATTACACTAGGTTATAAGGACAACCCTATAACCACATCCATTCATCCTTTTTTCAAAATTCCAAAACATCACATCGGGCGATAATCGGCCGGAGTTCCTGAGGTTCCGTACTGTCCGCAACTCTCTTTCTGCTGCATATCAATGATATATTAATTCCAGGTACCTTTGGGAATGCTGATGACAGCACGGTTGTGGACAGGTACGTGACCAATGCAAGGGTCAGTGGAGAAGAAATCCGGTCTTGTCGAGAGGCCATGGTTAGTCGTTTGAATTTGGCACTCAAGGCAGTCTCCGATTAGGGCGATGCCAATATTGTCAAGTTAATGCTACCAAAACGCAGACGTGTCTGTCCTCCACAAAACGAAGAACCAACCCCTAGAAAACACCCTTTCATCTGAATCTGAATTTTCGTGATATATCCATACCGATAGCCGACCGTCTCCGGCTACTTGGAATGGACCTGTCGTCCAATCTCAACTTCGGCAGATACATTGAATCCATGACCAAAAATGCAGCCAGGTAGCTTGGCATCCTTTCCAAGGTGAGGCATAACTTCACACCCGAACAGTTGTTTCAGCTATAACAAGCACAAGTCCGGTCGTGTATGGAGTACTGCTGTCATTTATGGGATGGCTCTGCTAAATACCAACTGGCCACCTTGGACTCAATCGACAAACGTGTCAAGACGCTTATAGGTGACTCGGAATTAGTAGAGGAAAAGCTGCAGAACCTTGAATACCGCCGTAAAGTTGTCTGCTTAACGGTATTCTACAGGATATATCACGGAGAGTTTGGGATAGAATTGCGTAATTTGATAGGTACTTGAAACTTCGCAAATCTTGACCTCAAAGTAAATAATTGAGAGATTAAAGTCGATAAGCAGATAGGTAGTACTTCATGTGCGTAAAAAAATATCGCTATTAATTATTAAAATAATTAAAGATAAAATCTTCACACCTTTCCTGATGAAATTCTGCTGTTGCGGATCGAAAATACCGGCGAATATCCTTCACGTCTGCAGAATCATGTTTCTTGAAGTTGTCGAAGCGCAAGAACTCACACAGCTAGTCTAGCTGCTCCTCGCTGTAACTTTTGCCGAAAAACTTGGCTACGCGACGCGGCGTGCCCTTTAGATCCTGGAATGCGGTGTAATCAACATATACAATATATGATATTTTCTTTGCTAAACCTACCTACATCGTTTATGATTCATTGTATGATATACAAACAGACGCATAGACAGACGGTCTATCTCAGGGGTTGCCAAACTTATTTTGTCTACTGCCCACTTTGAAAATATAAATTATTTTTTAGCGCCCCCATTTTTTCACTTACTTAAAAACCACTATAACTTCAAATTAATTAATTATTGTGAGCTATACTAGCTGAGATTAAACATTCATTCTAAACGTGACTTTTACTATAACCCGCAAGAGTTAACTTGAGACCTGAGCGCAGTAAGTAGTACACAACGGCGCTCAGGTCTCAAGTTAACTCTTACGGGCTACACCTGCCAATGAGAATGATCATTGAAACGCAACTTTATAGTATTCAGACAGAGTATCTTTTATTCAAAATAAGATAATCATAATCGATTCTAATATGAAAACTAATGTAAAGGATGAATTTGATGCTGTTTAATAAGTTTGTTGGTATCAGGTTCCAATTTACTTAAGAACAGCCGCAAGTCACCACGTTCGGTAACATGTAAACGATTTCTCTTTTTAGTAAGCAGCGTTGTCACAGCACTAAAACCACGTTCACACAAATATGACGATGGGAATGTTATTAAGAATCGTTGAACGATTGACCACAACCCAGGGTCCAATTGCGGGATCGGTATTTGTAGCCAACATTCTTGGTAGCCATTTTTGAACTTGATTTTTATTTCCTCGTATGTTGTCAATTCTATAAGTTCTTCTTCCAGCTGACGTGATATTGCTGTGTTGACATTTGAAAACGGATCCAACATCCAGTCTTGTATTTCCGAGTTCAAAATGTCCTGGTATCGTTCGGTGAAGTCAATGTGGAGGCTTTCCAAATGTTGGCAGTAGGCAAACAAGTCGTCGTTACTGCAGGACACTGATAAATTCGGAAAATTGTGAAACTCACGTCTACGCATATTCTTTTTGTGTAGAAGCATACGTTAGCATCTAATAGTCTGTGGTAGAAGCAGTTTGGCTGCGAAAGCAGCAACGACATTTTTTGTTTTAATTAAATTTTTTGTCCACATTTTTTTTTATAACATGAAGTGACGGGACAGACAAGTCGCGCGCCTGATGGTAAGCTACACGCCTGTCTATAACAGTTGCAGTGCCACTCAGTTTTAAATCGCAAAGATCTGAGGGGCACTGCCACTACGCCCGTCACCCTGAGATAAGTTGACAAGTCACATGTGCGTGTAATTTCACGAGCACCTTTACCTTTCAAAACCGGAACACAGTAACACTTGGCGGCAGA